TCTCCGCCTCCTTCAATCCAACAGGAACCTTGCCTTTCTACCTACAGTGTTCTTGTCATTAGGTTGTCATTTTTATTAGGTAGGGGGAGAAGAGTCGGAACAAAAGCCATATTTCGCCAATAAAAGAATTAACAACATTGAAAAGACTCTTCACGTAGGTAGAAGACACACAAAAAAGAGAAAAAGCGATTAATAAAGTCTAAGAAACTAGAACGGCAAAAAACTTGACGAAGAATTCACTGTGTGCACGTTATGCAGAAACCGATGTACAGAAAAGTGGGAAGACATGGAATAACATCAAGAGGCTAGCCCAGGATAGGGAAAAGTGGAGGGTGTTTGTCCGTGGCCTATACCCTGATGCAGGGTGAGAAAGGCAATGATGATGATGACGTTATGCGCTAAATTCAACACAGTTTGGTATGGTATGAATTGGTTATAAGTTTACCCCCCCCCCCTCCCTATCAACACTGTTAGGCTATTTAAGAGGCGGGACCTCCGAGCTTAACGTCCATGTCCGAAAGGACCCAGCCAGGTCAGACATTCGTGTAAAATGCTTCCCAAGGAAACAACGTCAGACTCAACCCATTTTGAGTAAGAAATCACTGGCAAAGTAATGTAATGTAAGGCTGCCTTCCAACCTTTTTGAACAACGCCAGCAGGCGCTCAAAGGAGGAGGTTTCAATATAGAGGAGTCCCCACCAGGGCAGAGATACTGACAGAAGTTGTCTTTAGGCCATTCCCGAAGAGGGGAAATTAACACGTTCTTATGCGCAGAAGAATTGTAAAAGGGCTGATTTATCAATGTCATGCCCATGCTGTGCAGGAACAACCTAGGAGGGACTGCTGCAGCTGCTTTTTCTTTCCTCATCCTTACTATCATCATTTTCCCTCTACTTCTTTTGTAGGTTTGTCACTCTCTTGTGAACCGCCATTTCCGGGGTGCCCTGATAGTCGCAGTAGACTTTGTGCTGTTGAGGCTAGACAGGGGAGCAGAGAAAGCCTAATTCCCCGTTTAGAAGTCTGTTGACATCCACCCCTTGGGCACTCATGATTTTATGCAGTTGTGAGCGCCGTAAAACCTTTACTAAAACAAAAATAATGTTGAGGAGGCAAGGACCTTAGAATTGTGTAACCATAACCTCCTTGAGAGGAGGTCTTACCCCTATTCGTATGCCTGGGGTCATTTTGTATCCCAGGGGTTGTATTCTTCACATTTTTAGAATACTTCTAGTGCGAAGATCTCTTTGAAACTTTCAGTATTTTTAAAAAAAATCATTTTGACAGGCTGCTATGCAAAGCATACGGATCGGATTAACGAGTAAATTCCCTCTTTGGAAAGTGGGGGCACAGAGTTCGACAAAATTTACATCATTTGAGAGGCGGGCTGCTTTGACCCTGCCTGTCAAGACAAACTCCTGCTAGTGTAAAGGTTAGGGTCATAGCGAATGGTTAGGGTGCTTACTTGTCTGAGTAGAGAGACACATCAACACAGAACATGTTGTTAGCCCACCGAGTGCCCATTGCAGATGGAGTTGGGTCAGGTCAGGTCGCATTGATCACCCGACTCGTCACCTGAAATTTTGAGGCAACGAATCAAGCGCCATTGGCTTGTGCCACGATAGCCGTTTTGCGCCCTCAATCTTTCTAGCAAACAAACCCGATCTCCTAATGGGCACCCCGTATTATGCGTGAGGCACGCTAGTCACAAGTGATGAGTTGTCGGAGAGGTGTATCGCGAGTGTCCATTGGCATGATCAGGTCGGGTCGGTTTGCTAGTCAGATTAAGGGAGCAAAGCAGCTATCGTGGTACAAACCGATCGCCCGGTATAAGAAACAAAGGCGCTTGTTTTCAGGCGACGAGTTGTGCTTTCGACCCGACCCGATCCCATCCGCATTGCGTTGCAAAATTTTGCTGCAAGAGGCAAAAGTGACAAAACTGTCCCAAAACTGGCAAAGCCCTAGCACGACTGGCAAATTCACAGAAGAGAGACTGGCAAATTTTAATGTCAAGATGGACAAGGAAGTACAAAGTCCGTAAGATGAGAGTTCTACGAATGCTGACATTTTTGATTCCATACATGGTCAATCCAGTGTAAGTCCTCCTCCTCCTCCTCCAGTCCTCCTCTTCCACCTTCTCCTCCTGCTGTCCGTTAAAAAAAACAAAATATCAAAATTAGATTCACAAAACTTGCATAGGGTCGAACTGAAGATGACCACCCCCAACCCCCCCACCCACACATGGTGTGTCGACCAGGACTCCTTGGCTAGGTATTTTGATCAATGGTGATTCTCTAAACATGTCACACCCCCAGCCTGTTGCACACAACGGGGCCCTTGATTGCTATATGGACCGATCGCGTTGCATGTAAGGAGAGGGTTTCTTACTTGATTAATTATAGAGCAGCTAGGACCGCTCGCGACGCAACGTCACGCATAAGGAGACACACTGTAACAGTCATAATCAAGTACCAGCCAGTGCTTGCTGTATACCTCTGGCGGTCAGTTGGCTGGTGGTATGGCAGGGCAAATTTACATTAGTTAAATAATATAAGGACCAAGCAACAGTTGGTTGATGGCGGTGTGAAGGCATAAATACTGTGGCCTTACATTAGTGAAACCTGGCGGTAAGCAGGGCAGTCATATTAACG